TATTATATATATATATATATAATATAATGGGCCCATATAAGAAAAGATTAAATAAAACTTTTTTTTAAACCCCAGGAGGAAATTTTTCTTGGCTGTACAGGACCGCAAAAAACACGACATACAGGATTACATAAAGATTATATATTACTCTCATTAAAATTCAATATGAAAAGAGAATTAAAACTGACAAAATTTACATATCACATCAGATGCATCATTCAACCACATGCAGGAATTTAATTACAAGACCTTTAGAGTTATATAGATACATACGCTAATGAGCAATACACATCTATACTTATTCTGACAGTAGCCTTATGCTAGATGGTGAAACGCTTGTTTTATCCTTCTTCCGTCAACATAGTGCCTAACTCATTCGCTTAGATGCAAAATGCCTAACTCATTCTAATAAATATCTAAGGACAATAATCAAGAAATGAATTATTATACAGTTAAATGATACTTTTTAATGTTGAATGTGAACATATTGTAGTAAAATTGTGACTAGGAAGGATAAAAAGAAGTTTTTTCTGTCTCGTGTAAAATCACCCAAAATGAGTTAAGCCCTTTGCTTATGAACATGACGATTTTAGAGGTATATAATATCTGCCGCTGCGTGATCTTACAATTGAAATTTACGTGGAGAGATGGTGTAATGGGTAGATTATACTGCTTTTTAACTTTTTATATTAGTGGTGTTATACATTTCAACAATTCTAGTAAAGTCATATCCAGAAATCTTGCTGGCTTTCTTAATGGTTCTGTCGAATTTTTCTATATATTTCACCTTACAATTCCCAGCCCAGCAGAAAATACAAAATAATAGCACGCTTTCAATCATAGAAAGGTATGACAGGAACATATTAATAATCTTATTATCGACAAAAAAACCTTTCTTAATTTCCTTGAAAGGAACATTTTTTGGTTTACTTTTTTTTTTTTTTTTTAAATGTACCAAAACAGCGTGGGGATGCCAGTCCAGCTTGTTATCAATTGTTATTCCAAGATACTTGTAAGAGTTTACCACCTCCATCTCCTCATCTTTAATAAAGAGTGGTTGCAATTGGTCTTTTTTACTCTAAAGTCTATTATGAATTACACTGTCTTTGTTTTTACATTTTAAAAAAATATTAATTTAGTGCATTGTAAAAAGAAGACGTGGTTAACACACCAATTTGTGAGTACATTTACAACGTCCCTGTATTCATTCTCATTTGTTGTTATATTATATGTACCTGTACTATATTTTATTTATTGTATAACATATATATTATATATAATTATGTTATTTATATTTTACACA